CAAATGCATGGACTAGTTTCTCAGCATCACCCCTGGACAGGAGATTGCTCATTTTGGAATAATTTCAGATAAAATCAAACCAATCAGGAAACGATTCATTGCGCTTTATTAAAACTGATCTAATTAAAGAATCTAAACGGAGCCGTTCCCGGATCCAGCAGAACCTTCTGATCCACAGCTCTCTGCTGGGCCACTCTGGGTCTATAGGTCTACTTCCAATAGAGACCCCCATCCTCACTCTGCCACCACCGTACCTCACGTTTAATACATAATATTCTGGATCATCTTTCATCCGCATAATGAAGCACTGAATCAGCGTATTTATCTAGAAGTGCTGCCCAGAGGGCGCTCGGTCGTTTCGTTTTGGCTCCGTCTTTCAGGTAATTAGGAAACCATTTCCAGTTTAACGAGCTTTGCTGAGATAATGTGAAAGACGACGGTCTGCAGAGATGCGACACACAGAGAGTTCTTTACATGCAAAGACTCCAACATGTCCGCCAGGAGTCGATAAGCTCAGAGCCTCAGGGCTCAGATAGAAACTAAACCCATTACTGATCCGACGGCGGCGGGGGCGGCGGCGGGGGCGGCGGTGACACTGAGCTGCTGCTGCCCGCCGGAGAGCTTTTTATGCAAGTTTTAAAAAACGTCTCGTTAACGGCGGGATCCTCGTTAATGTACTGGCCCTCGCCTCGCCACCCCCACACTGCAGAGGGACGGCCCATTCGCTGGCAGCTGCCGTGACATCAGCGACCACAGAGAGGCCGGCACACTGACAGCCGTTTAATGGGAGACCGAGCTGGAATGTTGAAAAGGAGAGAGAGAACGAGTGTTAATCAGAGGAGTAAAGAGGATGTTGGCGTGCAGAGAGGGAGGAGGAGGAGGAGGAGGAGGAGGAGGAGGCGGCGTTTCTGCATCCTCATCAGTATTCCATCCTGACCGCAGCGTTATTGTGATGCTGGACGACCAGTTTAACCACAGCAGCTCCTGCTGCAGCCCAAACGCCTCCTCATCAATCTCCTTCTCTCCTCCTCCTGCTCTCATCAGTCTCCTTCTCTCTGCTAGCCTTTCTCCCCGCCTCGGAGCGCCAGAGTTCCTGGTGACGCGGCGCCCTGAACGCCACGCAGGCTTCCAGCACAGGAAGTGACACGGCCATGTTGATTCTCAGAGGAA